ACGTCGTCCTTCTCGATTAAAAGCAACTCGAAATGAATTTCACTAACCGTATTTCTGATTTATATATTACTAGCGGCCCGCTCCGGCTCCGCTCGGGTCTTTAACAAAAATTTCAACGATATTTGACGTTGTTTTATTTTTTTTAAATAAAAGAACACTTATTGCGGCGTAACCATAATAGTTAGACATATGCCATCGCGACATGATTTTGTAAATTACAAAGTCGTAGTACATTATTTTATACTATCATCAATAGTTTTCGCAGGGCATGCGATGTAAAGAATATTTTAGATAATTTTTTTACACCTTGGGTTACATTATTAGAGTTTTAGTAAGGATCTCTAATTTTTTTTTCAAAAAAAGATTATTACCTATGTCACTCGGGAATAGTGTAGCTTCCAAACAGTGAAAGAATTTTTCAAATCGGTTCAGTAGTTTCGGAGCCTATTCAATACAGACAAACAAACAAATCTTTCCTCTTTATAATATTAGTATATATTATATAATACAGTTATAGAGCACTCGGTTGGTTGTAGCTCTGTTTCACACACATATAAATCGTTTAGTGAATTTCCCAACATGGCTTCCGCGGCAGTACGTCCAATGAAAGGCTCGTGGTGAGCGGGGGGCGAGGCGGCTCCGAACTCAATCTTCGTATGAAAATGCAAAAAATTATGAGCTTTAAGTTTATTTGAGGATTCCTGCTAGTGTCATTCGAAGCGTTATAAATGCATGAGGAAACAGAATCTAAAAACTTAGAGGGCAACATCAAGTTTCGTTGTAATGCTTCAACAAATTCGAATTTGCATAATATTCAAATTACGTATTATTAATAGGAAACTTATAATATTATTGTTAAACTTTATGTAGGTACATAATGATTACTAATAAATTAATTAAATTGATCCTAAACCAAAAAATTATGTTTGCATTATTTTAATTTAACTCAATATAATTACGAAATCTAATAAGGCATTTATTGCAATAACAATAAAAACAAATTTTAGTTGTAACATCAAAAGTTTTGCCGATCTCGCTTTGTTCCCCGATCCCTTTTGCCTGCACATAACCATTCTGACCCCGTGATATACGCACACCACTAAACTGCTACATTACAGTTCAACTGAAGCAGCTGTAGTGTGAGTGAACACGATGAAAATCTTTATTTTCACGCTCTATCTCTCTTTATCTAATCGCGTCGGTCAGATAAGGACGGAGCGCCGGAAAAACTGGAGCGGGGCGAGGGGTAAAGGCTACATCGATTCCGCGCTTTCACTGCTAGGGGCCGTGTAAACCTTTAAAAACATCGTTTCTGCCGCGCGATTGTCATCTCTAGCTTTATAAGGATAAGAGGGTTATTCGAATGGCGAGACACGTCTGGTAAATGGATTGCCTCCCCGCGAGGGTTCTCGTAGTGGGATCTAGATGGCGTAGATATGCTGATACCGGGATCTGTGTGCGTCGCGATGTGACTGAGCGCTGTTTGAGTGTGCTCGTAGTCCGTAGGTTTGCGTTTTCCGGCCACGGACTCGCGTAGGTATGTGGTGCAGGAGGGTCTCTTCCGCACTCGATGAATTTTGCTGGTGCTCGCAAATATATGAGGGGCGGTAGGTATCCCTTTTTGTAATATGATTATACGTAGATAGGTAAATAGATTAGGGAAGACGGAGGCTGCGATTTGATTTGATTAGGAGGTGTTCGCAGCCGGCCGAGGGAGATAAGGCTGATTGGATCGCTGCGGGGGCAGAATGTTATGGAAATATGTTTTTAATGTGGGTGGTTTATTGAATTAGTCGGGTTGGTGTGAAGCGGCGCGGGCTAATCCCTCTGACGCGCGCCAGTTTATAATAACTCGATGTTCATTGACTCCCATACATTATGTGCTCCTTTAATTTGTTTAATAAATAGCTATTGAAAACACAACGGTATTGTTTTTGAACTTGACACAAAATCAAGCAAGTTACGAATCTGTTGGGACATACAATTTTTTTTTTTTTTTTTGTTGTTGCTTAGATGGGTGGACGAGCTCACAGCCCACCTGGTTACTGGAGCCCATAGACATTTACGACGTAAATGCGCTACCCACCTTGAGATATAAGTTCTAAGGTCTCAAGTATAGTTACAACGGCTGCCCCACCTTTCAAACCGAAACGCATTACTGCTTCACGGCAGAAATAGGCAGGGTGGTGGTACCTACCCGCGCGGACTCACAAGAGGTCCACCTGAGGTCCTACGGGTTTGATTTTATTACACGATGTTATTCTTTAAGACTAGACTATAAGACTTTTATTTATAAGATAAGACTTTTATTGCGATTTAAATGTTTGTACTATTTTAAGCTTTAAGAACAAACGCTTTGGTGAACGTAGGTATTAATAGTTTTAAGTCGTGCATGTGTTCTTTGTCCGCTTAAACCGGTCAGTGTACAACAATCGTCGTATTTTCCGAACAATGAGCGTGTTTTTGTACCCGTCACAACAACAATAGTAGCTCTTGATGCTGTCGCGTACTCTTTGATTTCACACTACACTGAAAATTAAAGTACTTGAACAATATGTACTGCATATTGTCTGTTTGTGATGCCTTTTTATCTTTGTCGGCTAGATGTTTGTTATGCTTGTTTTTTTTTTTTAAATATGTATAGATATCAATCTGATCGGAATGTCGTTGACAGTGAAATGGGTAATACAATTAATAAATGTCCTTAAAACGAACGCTGCGTCCGCGTGTTTGGGGATTTATATTGATCATCATTTACTATTCGGTGAATCATTGTGATTAATTAAAGATAACATTTTCAATGTGACCCCTAATAATATTTGTGAACATTGATTAAAGTACGATTTTCTTAACTATCATATTGCTTCCGAGTGTTCCCTCCTAATAATAATAATATTTAGATTATTTGTTATCAGAAAAGCGAGGGATAATGTCCAAATAATGATCTAGTCCTTTTCGTGAAAACTTACTGGTGGTAGGACCTCCTGTAAGTCCGCACGGGTAGGTACCACCACCCCGCCTATTTCTGCCGTGAAGCAGTAATGCGTTTCGGTTTGAAGGGTGGGGTAGCCGTTGTAACTATAGTGAGACCTTAGAACTTATATCTCAAGGTAGGTGGCGCATTTACGCTGTGCATGTCTATGGGCTCCAGTAACTACTTAACACCAGGTGGGCTGTGAGCTCGTCCATCCATCTAAGCAATAAAAAATAATTGTGTTTTAAGTTGATTATATCAAGAGTGTATCGCTGACAGCGGCGAGTAAATAAACCTTTTTATTATTTACGGTCATCTACCAAGTCATTCGCATAAACCAAGGTCCGTTAGTAAAAAATGACCCGAATAAAAAATAATCCCGCTCGTAAAATTTACGACTTTTTCCAGCCATTTCAGCGTTTGAAGAGCGAAAGTAATTCGCTCATAAAATTACGAGTAAACAGCCGTTTTTCCATCGAAATAAAACCACCCTCTCGACGGGTGGTTGACTCCTGTAATCGGCTTAGTAGCAACCCCTCCGAATTAGTCTGTCCCAGGGGACATCATGCACCGGTTATAACTCGACGTGAATGCTTATCTAAAGATTACAAAATCCGATTTTATGTAATTGACTCGTAAACTTCTCGTGGTTTTCGTGCACACAATTCCACTGTCATTTTCTTAAACGTATCGTGAGATTTACATTATGAATAATGTGATTTGTCAAAATCATATCGCCACAAATAAGCTACATCGAAAAAAATAAACAAGTCTGTCTGTCACAAATCGAATGGCACCGAGTCATCTCTGAGAAGAAAAAGTTATATGTTATAGGCTCAGCTAATATGGCGAGGTCTAATCTCTTACGGCTACAAAGGAGCTGCCATGACGAGGCGAATATCGACGCAAACCATTTAATATTTAGGTATTCGAATATGCAGCTGTACTGATGCGCACAAAAGGGCTATAATCATTAAAAAATAAATATACATTATGATCGTCTCGGTATCCGAAATTAGGACTATATTTATACCATTTTTTTATTTACTTATCTTAATAAATAACACTATTTACGTTGGTTTTTCACAATTTTAATAAAATTAATTAATTTGAACTTGAAGAATAAAACTAATTTTGAGCCCGATGGTACGTTTGCATGCCGGTACAGTCACTTACGATATTAAACCGGACAATGCGCCCGGTGCGGTCACGATAATCTTTGGTAGTATTCGATTCTAGTTACCGAGAATCGGACCGCGACCGGTGTCCCGAATAGTTGGACTCTTACGACCTCAATAGTGTACCTACTTCACAAATGACATGACAAATTAATGGATTTATTATGAGTCGGATTGCGCCGGCTCTTTTTATTTTCATGTCTGTTTAGGACGAATGCATTTTTAATTAGGTGAGGCAGTTTTGTGGACTGTATAGAACGGCCACCGCATGCCGCGGATGTTTTTATTTGATTGACGGGTAGTAATGGGCAGGTGCGTAAGAGCGACTCGATATTCCACCTCGGGTTTTCGTCTCGATCTTCCGCCATACACACTTTTTGTATGTCACATCTCGTTTTGCGATTGTTATACGTCGTATTTTGTATGCGTTTAGTTTTTTTTGTTTCGTGAATATTTTGTCTTTTTAAGATTCATATCTTAGTTCGTATTTACGTTTGTATTTTATAAATGTGCATTTTAATTATCTTATTACCATATTATATTATCATACGTCACTATTGTAGTAAACGGTAGCGCATCTTCAAAGCCTTTTTTTAACTTTTCTTAAAAACTAGTATAAAAACTATAGTATTTTGCATACACATTTTGCAAACTACTTTTGTGCGGATCTTAACATCTGTTAGGAAAAGTAATCTTACTTTTCTATTATGTTTGAAGAACGAGATAACTAATTGACTTTAAGTGTTCATAGAATTGCTTTCTTTTCTCGATTAACTACAAATACACTGAGCTTTAAGGTTACGAGTGTTCGTCTAATGGCATTAATTTAATTATTTATCTATCAACAGTCGTTACAAAGTGCGGCCCGACGGGCGGGAACCTCGTGTGCGAACTGTAAGACGACCACAACGACATTATGGAGGAGAAACCAGAACGGAGAACCTGTATGCAACGCTTGCGGACTCTACTACAAGCTACACAACGTGAGTACCAGTAAACACGAATATTCTATACTAATATATAAATCTACAGTGGTTTTTACGGATGTTCCGTCATAACTACTGAACCATGCGTCCGATTGACTTGAAACTAGGTATCCATGTAGAAAATACATGAACTTAATGGATAGGCTAATTAATATTTGTATAAGTGTTGGCGTCGCATCGCGAGAGCATCGGTATCGCAGGATCCGACTGATGCATGACCACGACCACTCTGTCAAGAGTGTACGAATAGGAAGGATAAGTGTTAGACTCCTTAATAATAATGACAATAAATAATAATGTTAATTTTAATGCCCAGCGAAGCGGACGAATACGGCTAGTCTTGTTTTCTACTAAAAATAATTGACAAGCAACGTTTACGGTAAGCAGCGGCCTGGCTCTGCCCCTAGCATTGCTGAAGTCCATGGGCGACGGTAACTTCTCACCATCAGAGGGGCCGTGTGCTCGTCTGCCTGCAAGGGCAATAAAATAAATCCAGAATAGATAAGAGGATGTAAAATATTTTTTTACAAATTCAAAAATTTATTATTACGTACGTGACGCCTATAATGAACTCCTTCACACATTGGGCTAAAAGGCACTGACACGTATGACTGTTTATCAAATGAAGCAGCAACTAACTTTCACGTATAGGCCAGCACTAAAACAAATGCTTCAGTATGTTGAAGGAATACTTTGACGAGAGGTAACTGAGGGCTTAGATATGGTACGAGACCATTCAAGCTCATCCTACTAGAAGTCTTTAGTTTGGATGTAAACAGTTGACCGGGTTGAAGCTAGTCAAAGTCATAATTGTTTGTCTTTTTAATGCAAATTTTGGTTCCACGAATTGTTCAGTGTTGTTATAACAATATAATTTATCATATATTGATGGAGAGTGGCTTAAGAGATGACAGTTAAATGTAAATGTACCGATGTACTGAAAAAATGTACTGTCGTATTCTCAAGGATTTTGTAAAAATATTTGCCGATAGTAATAATAGGTAAACAGATAAATAAGATATATTCAAAACCTTAATGTATAACCAAGAAATTTTCCATTTTTTAATAAAGAAGCAAAAATAAGTAAAGTGGTAATGCTACCATAGACCAATATTTAACTGTTTTGAGAAATACTTTTTCGACATCGCAGCTCCAATGTCAATCAAAAAATTAAATTAGAAATAATATATTTATATTCCTTCAAATATTATACAGTTTTTATTGATTATGGAATGGTAAGATAAACTTTCCTTAGAACAAAAATACATTTCATGGAAAACTAAGACGTTCAAAGTGCAAATTTTAAAACCAAAATTTACAGGTTTTAAGTTTGATGTTAAAATTGCAACTAATAATAATAGTTTGATTATAATGATTAAAATTCAAAACCAACACTTGTTTCAATTACATTTATGGCTCGCGAAACGACAAGTAAATATATTTTAGCTACCAGTTTAATCAATGCAATAACATGATTTACAGCACGACTAGATAGCAGAACAATTAAATGCGAACGTTGTGTTGAAATAATCATAAATGTACAATTGTTCTATACTCCATACTGACTATACAGTTTGTGTCATGTATATATATCTATCTATTGTTCATTTCCTAACGTTATAACAGTTATATTTGTTGTCGCAAATTGAGTGAGTATAAGAGATATTGATAGTGAAGATTCTAAAATTATGATTATGATAAAAAATGAGTATCGGTAAGTTTGTTTGTTTATTCGTGCCATACGTTTAAGATTCGTTTATACGATTGCATTGAAACTTTTTACAGTTGCTGTTTGTCTTTAGAAAGGCTTCTCTGGTATTACATAATATTTCTTAGTTGAAACATGGGTGGATACACGTGTAGTATCAAACGAAAATTTACATATTTATTTAGCGATTATACTCAAATCCTTGCTAGGAATACTAGCCGAATATAAATATTTTTAGTTAAGTTAAAGGCATTATTTTATAGTGTGAATAGTCTACTCCAAATTAATTTTATATTTATTTTATAGAATCTGTAACAAATTAATATTTATTAGCATTCGATTTCCTAAGAAAATCAACTGAAGATAAACACACATATTCTTTAATTACACTTATTAAAATGCACACAGTGTAGTTTTAATGATATTTAGAAAGGAGCATAATTCCCTTGCCTCATTTAATCCCTGGTCTCGCTGGGGTTCTCGTTTCCCTCGGGATGATTTGACACTATCTCGGTGACAGATAACTAGGGGTTCCACAGTCAAACGCCACGATCCCCCGACGGTTGGCTAATGTGTCATAAAGCTCAACTCAATTTTCCCGAATGAAATACGATTTCATACGATAATATCTAAGAATAAACTTAAACTGAAATAAATTCGTATGCATCGTAGATTACATTAAGATAAACTGAAATCTGAGAAATTTGTCTATCTCCTATTAATGATTGTGTATAAACCAACAACTTCAAGTTTATTAAAACGTTTATCGAATTTATTTTATTATAAATAATTATTCTAAGCTATGCAAAAATAAAATTTAAGTACAGCTCTTAAAGAGATATATATAATAATATGCAGTAGTAATTTTCATGTTTTACGATCGATAATAAACTAATCAGAATGTGCCAGTCATCGAACGTCGAGCCTGATTTTGTTTTTAAATGTCAAGAATAAACGAAATTAGATTCTCACGGCTCTCGCTGCCCCAAAATGAAAACGTTAAACAAAACCGTTCGAGTTGTATGCGAAAGAGCAGGAGCGCTACAATGACAGAAATTAACTGTCAAAAGAACCAATAGGCGGCTCGTGTACTTCAAAACTTTTTTTCTGTTGAAATGTATACTTTAGTTGTATCCGAGCGCCGATGTTTGCTCTAATTATTCGGAAGGAACGACAAAGAAGCGAATGGGAGTGCCTGCTACTTCAGATGTTGACATAATGATGGGGGCACAATACGGGAATACTGCAGTAGCTTTGTTGAGAGCTTGTGTCCTGCCTCACTCCTGCATATTTATAGTGTATCACTTACATTTTAAGACGATAATAGACATTAATTATTATTCACGAGCTACATAAATATATTCAGAAATTTATGGTGAATTAATCGATTATTATTCATGACTTTTTCAGATGAAATTTATTAGTCGTAAAATTTGTTCTAAATGTTGAACATTTTCGAACACTGATGGACAAATGCGAATTTAATATTGGGACGTATTGCAGTTTAAAATTTAAATGAGACGTATTTTATGAACACTAAAACCTATAAACTACACATTAAATTACTTTATTCGAATTTTACTAACGTATGATTTTTTAAAGAGGTAGCATAAGTAGATAAGAATATGTAAATAGATACAGTTCAATGTTAGTTTTGGAAGCGGATACTCGTGATCGATTTCGTTTGAAAAAAAAAGCAATTCATACAAAAGGTACAAGAGTATTGATTTACCGACGTCACCCTCCCGCACAACCGAGTGGTCTTGATACTATACTACATAACTAATGATTTTAATCCCCCAAAGATAAATAATGTCTAATGTGTAATGTCAGTGAAATAAAGTCTAAATTGAATTGACTTATTTTAGATATCTTTTTTTTTATGAGGATACTAAAAATTTTCTAATTTTAGCTAAATGACTTGACAAAATAAATATTAAGCGCACCTGTCGTTGTGATTATATCGTGAATGTTTTAGTTTTCTCACAAATATATTATAATTTTTTTTTATGAATATAAGAATAGAAAATATCAAGATTGTTAAAGCGTTGTATAATGCCGACAAGTTTCAAGCATGTTTACTCAAAATATATTCCTTGAGGGCTCTTCAAACGATTGTTACGAATACTTGAGACCAAATTGGCTTCATAGCGACCGTGCTGTATGGAGAAGCCGACAAGCCTCTTGTACTTTTAACCTTTGTGTTGTTTCAAACTTTTTATTGATGTTTTTGATACGGTTTGTGCATTTGATTGATGTGAGAAAATCGAATTAATTTTATTTAAGCTCTTCGATTGAGTATCAAAATTTATGATCAACCATTTGCGAATAAGAATTTTAGTTAAAACAAGCAAATAAAAAAAAAAGCACACATTGTAAATTTCGATTAATATCAGTTTGAGCAATGTAAAATTGTCTAGTGGCAAATGCGGACTGGCATACCTTGGGGTCTATGTCCAACAATGGATATATTTAGACTGACGATGATGATGATGAGACACTAAACGAAGCGTGTTTCGTAAAAACATCAGATGACGAGACAATTTAAGCGCTATTAAATAGCCACGGGAATATCCGACCGAATTCTGAAGGATTCAATGGAAAATAAATTATTTATTTGGTCATTTACAATGGGCGCGTAATAGGATTATCTAGTGCGTGGGGCCACGACCGCAATGTTACAAAAGTTTTTTTCCTTTACTTTTTCTTTTAAATTTGTTTATTTAATTTACTACGCTCGTTTATACGTAACTTCCTCCTGTTAATAGCCGATTAGGTTTTTGTGGTTGGCACACAGTTTTTTAAACGCCCTTTGCGTCTACAATGAATTGGGATTACTTTTTTTGATTGCGGTCGGTTTCTGTAATCGAGTTGTATAGTTCGGTTTTCGATAACTCGTTTTCTCGTTAACTATTTAATAAAAATGTTACATAAAGACTATAAACTGACTGTGGAAAATACTGTTTATGACTTATCTCCGCTCTGCTAGTAAAATCGATTCGTAACGATGTTTCTTTTGTGAAAACTAAAAGTTGCAGTATAATCTCACATTAATCAGTGGCATTCAAATAAACACTAAACAAAATAAACAAAAATGGAAAATCAATTAAAAACATCATGAACGTTCGTCTCGCACCGAGCAGATCATAAAACACTAAACATATCAACATCAAACAACGCTTATGTCGTTTCGTTACTGAATTTGTCCGTTAAGTGCCTTCCATACAAAAGTATTGGATTACTAGCTTGTATAGAGCTAGAGAGAGCGCGCCCATAATAACAGCTCAAA